TCTGTTCAATTTAGTCGTCAACATGAAAGATTTTTTTTCTGAAAAACTTTTCAGGGAAGAAATTAAATATCTAAGTTTGCTTTGTTTTTAAGCAATTCTGTTTCTGTAATTTGAATTTAATAATGGTGCTTTTTACTGTCAAACAAATCTAACGCCCGAAAAATAAATTTCGGGCTAGTGTAGTTAAGTTTTGACAAATCAAAGAATAGCGCATGAATTTTTTTACAAAAAAAGTTCAGTTTGAGGTAACCAATTTTTACAAGCAAAAAAAGCAAACATATTAGCACCCTTTGATGAGTTTGTTTTCTTCTTTTGATTCAATCAGAATCTAAATTTAGCATAAACTAAACTGTACAAACTGTTCTTTTTTTTTGTTTTTGCTTCAGTAAAACGTCTAAATGTACATCGTCATTGTTTCTGAGAACTAATTTAATCTTCTAATAGTAGAAATTAGAATACTATAATAGTTCTAATAGTAGAAATAGTAGATTTTATTTTTTACCTCAGAAGAGAGTTTTCAGAAGACTCACATATCTTGTTGTAAGCAAAAAAGGGAACTACACCAGAAAAAAAAAGAGAAAAGGGAAGTACTGGTAAAACTGAAGAAAATCTTGAGGAAAAGGTAACTATTCCAATTGATTGTACGATTTTTTTGAATGAGAAACAACAAACTTCTGCTTTAAGTTTACCGCAAAAAAGAACAAAAATGTGTCCTTAAGACATTTGTTCCCCAAACTGACTTGGTTGTAGACCGAAAAGGAAAAACAAATTAAATTCCCTGAAGATTAAGCAAATTTGATATGAAGCAACTTACTTTAAGAAATTTGTGACCAAAAACATTTTACCGCGTAAAGAATTCTTTTTTGTCTTCTTGGGTCTGTTCAATGGTAATCGAACTATATCAAACTGAGCCCATTGTCTGGAACAACAAAATCGTATTAAGAATAGTCTCCAAAAACTTGTAACAAAATACGTTTGTTTTTGTAATTTGTTTTTAAATTTAAAACTTATAGTTGATTGGTTAAAATGACACATTTTAACTAGCATAAAAAAACAAGTGCCAATTTAAGAAGAAGATAATTTTCAGAAAGTTTGTTTAGCTACATCAGTGGCTCATTTTGATAAAAATTTGACAGTAAGTGACTCGATAGTTTTGGCGTGGTTTTTGACGATTTGAACACCGAATATTATTTTTTTGGGTCCAAAATATGGCCTCTGTCTTTTTGCTTGCAGTCAACCCCGCTCGAGAGAAAAAACCTGTTGTAATTAATTTTCAGTTTCAAGTGTTTCGTCCGGATAATTTCTATAAGCACCGTACAAGAAGCAGAAATTATCCAATCAGAGCCATTTTCATATTCCTATTTGAATTATTTTAAAATTAAGTTTTTCTTTTTACTGCTGTAAAAAACTGTAAAAACAAAAAACAATAAGTTTTATTTTTTTTGATAAGTTTTATTTTTTTTATAAGTTTTAGTTTTTTAAATTTATGTGAAAAACTTTGAAAAAACTTCAAATAAACGATAAATCAATTTTTGCCCTCATTTTTTTAAATTCAGCCCCATTGAATGAAGAAAGAAACTCTTGATTTTTTGTCAGTCTTTATTAACAATTTGAAAACCAAATCCAATTTCTTAACTTGATCTCCCTCTAATTGATTTTATCATCTGTTCGAGTCCGTCTAATTTATCCGATAGCTCTTAAAGGCTCCGAGTTTACTTGCCCGGCGTTTTTCATGCAGGATTTTTTTCATTGTTTTTAGTGTCTTTTAGATATGCAAGTTCAAGTTTTTTACTTTTTTATTGTGAGCAGAAGTTTTATCAATTTTTCGTGATATTAATCATCTAAAAAACTAGAAGTTTAGTAACTCATGGCTAATTTTGGCTTGTTTTTTAGTATTTTGAATATAATACTGAATCTTTTTTCTGTCAAATTATTTTTTGCCCGGAGAGTTTCATTTAAGCTATTGTAGTTATGTTTTGAAAAAGCAACGCATGATTTTTTTATAAAACAAAATTGAAGCAACCATTTTCTACAAGAAAAAAAACTTAGTTTGTGTTTTTGATCCCATCAGCATTATTCAGATTTATTCTGTATCACAAAAGAAGAAGTTATTTTTTCTTTCTGCTCCAGTGAAAAGTTTTAGCCGTACGTCCTCATTGTTTTCTGAGTACTCTCCTTTACATCCCAGAAAAACTCATTAAGTTACCCAATTTTCGTGTAATTTAACAAATGTTCAAAAATGTTAAATCTCGAAACATCTCAAAAATCATGCTAACGAAGGCTCTGTTAAAGATCTTTCTTTATTTTTTAACGAAATTCTTTATTTTTTTTTGATGAGTTTAGAGTGACCTATTTTGAGGTTTATGATAAATGTTTCTGTGTCCTCAATCCTTATCTTTACAAAAAAAGGGTTGATTTTACAAAATAAACTTCGAGAGTAAGAAGTTGGTACAATGATGGTAAGAAGTTTCGAATTCTTCATAATCAACAAGTAACAACCTTGTGTATAAATGTAGTAAATAGTGTAATAATTTACTACATGCAAACTGTTCGTAGACATAGCAGAAGACTTCTCATATCTCTTTGTCGGTATATCAAAAGTATATTTAAAGCTTTTTCAAAAAAACGAAGGTTAAAAATGTCTTCACGAAGTTTCATGCAATTGTACAACAGGGAAGGAAAGTTTTGATTATTTTTTTGTTTTTTAACTGATTATTGACTGAGTGGGAGAATTGGTGAAGTTAAAATAACAAAAATTGGGCTTATCTTTGATTTGATCAGATGTTGATACCAAACATACTGATATTTTAAAAAAATTTGAGAAGTTATTGTTTTGTAAATGTTGTCTTTAAAAAAAAACTAGCGAATTTCAAAAAAAAGAGTACCTATAAAATGTCCAATAAATCAGATCTTTGCTCTAAATTTTGCGTAAGGTGCGCTGAAATTTTTTTCTCTGTTCAATTTAGTCGTCAACATGAACGTTTTTTTTTCTGAAAAACTTTTCAGGGAAGAAATTAAATATCTAGATTTGCTTTGTTTTTAAGCAATTCTGTTTCTGTAATTTGAATTTAATAATGGTGCTTTTTACTGTCAAACAAATCTAACGCCCGAAAAATAAATTTCGTGCTAGTGTAGTTAAGTTTTGACAAATCAAAGAATAGCGCATGAATTTTTTTTACAAAAAAAGTTCAGTTTGAAGAACCAATTTTTACAAGCAAAAAAAGCAAACATATTAGCACCCTTTGATGAGTTTGTTTTTTTGCTTTTGATTCAATCAGAATCTAATTTTTGCATAAACTAAACTGTACAAACTGTTCTTTTTTTTGTTTTTGCTTCAGTAAAACGTCTAAATGTACATCGTCATTGTTTCTGAGAACTAATTTAATCTTCTAATAGTAGAAAGACTCAAGAATGTTAGAAAAAAATTCAAAGTCTTCTGAGTGTGGAAACATAGCTTAAAGTTTGTGATTTTATTTTTTACCTCAGAAGAGAGTTTTCAGAAGCCTCACATATCTTGTTGTAAGCAAAAAAGGGAACTACACCAGAAAAAAAAAGAAAAAAGGGAAGTACTGGTAAAACTGAAGAAAATCTTGAGGAAAAAGTAACTATTCCAATTGATTGTACGATTTTTTTGAA